CAGAGAAGAAGATTTTCAAAGAATTAATGCATTTTCACTATATAATCAATAGAGCCCTGCCCTAACACCAGAACGCCTGACCCAGGGGCCATGGCTTTCACAATTCTGGAAGGGACCCACCTCCTCATCATAACTATGTACTTAGTTTCTCACCTTAATGCCCAGGAGCAGAGGAGAAGATTTTCAAAGAATTAATGCATTTTCACTATATAGTCGATAGAGCCCCGCCCTAACACCAGAACCCCTGACCCTGGGGCCATGAATTTCACAATTTTGGAAGAAGCACTCTTGCTCATCATAACTATGTACTTAGTTTGTTTACATAATCTCCAGTAGCAGAGAAGAAGATTTTCAAAGAATCAATGCATTTTCACTATATAATCAATAGAGCCCCACCCTAACACCAGAACCCCTGACCCTGGGGCCATGAATTTCACAATTTTGGAAGAGGCACTCTTGCTCATCATAACTATATACTTAGTTACTTTATTTAATACCCAGGAGCAGAGAAGAAGATTTTCAAAGAAATAATGCACTTTCACAATATGATCTATATAGCCCCACCCTGGGGCCAGAACCCCTGACCCTGGGGCCATGAATTTCACAATTTTGGAAGAAGCACTCTTGCTCATCATAACTATGTACTTAGTTTGTTTACATAATCTCCAGTAGCAGAGAAGAAGATTTTCAAAGAATCAATGCATTTTCACTATATAATCAATAGAGCCCCACCCTAACACCAGAACCCCTGACCCTGGGGCCATGAATTTCACAATTTGGGAAGAGGCACTCTTGCTCATCATAACTATGTACTTAGTTACCTTATTTAATACCCAGGAGCAGAGAAGAAGATTTTCAAAGAAATAAGGCACTTTCACTATATGATCTATATAGCCCCACCCTGGGGCCAGAACCCCTGACCATGGGGCCATGAATTTCACAATTTTGGTAGAGGGCTCAATGCTTATTACAATGATGCCAACAGTTTGACTGCTTGATGTCCAGGAGTAAAGAAGAAGATTTTTAAAGATTGCATTATTTTTGGTGGTTTTAGCCCCACCCCTCAGGCCCCAGGGGGGCAGGGACCATGAATTTCACAATTTTTGTTCCCCTTCACCGATAGATGCTATATGCCAAATTTGGTTGAAATTGGTTAAGCGATTTCAGAGAAGAAGCTAAAAATGTTCAAATGTTAACGCACGACGCACGCCGACGGACGAGAACGGATAGCAATAGGTCACCTGAGTGACTCAGGTGACCTAATAAAAAATGGAGACCCCATGCTCATTAATGTGTGAAGTGTTGTATGACCACATGTACTTGAAGATGGCATATTTTAGAGAGCAATGTTATTTTAAATATTTTTGTGAAGGTTGTAATTGGGGGAAAATTTCATTTTTTCTCATATGCTGAGACATATGTATTTTTAAGTATTTGGTGTTATAAATAGAAATGGAAATAATCTCCGCAGATTATTTTGCATTTCAGCTAATGCTCTCTTGTTCTTGTCAGTCATTACATTAATAATAGTAAGTCTGCAAATTGAGCATTCCTTATGTTAGAAATAGGGCAAAAATCTATATTTCCTTGATTATTTCCAATATGTCTATTTTTAGACATACACGTATGTTGCTATAAATAGAAATCGAAACCTCCGCTGATTATTGTGCATTTCAGTAAATGCTTTCCTGTTCTTGTCATTCACCTTTTGTCAATAACAGTTAGTAAAAGTTAATCGGCAAAATGTCCATTCCTAGTGTGCGAAAATCTATATTCCCTTGATTTTTTGCAATTTGTCTATTTTTACACATGTGTTGCTATAAATAGAAATTGAAACCCCCACTGATTATTCTGCATTTCAGTTAATGCTCTCTTGTACTTGTCGGTCACCTGATGTCAATAACAGTAAATAGCAGTTAGTCTGCAAATTGTCCATCCCTAATGTGAGAAACAGTGCAAAATTCTACATTTTTTCAATAGTTATAAAACGTTTGTTACTATAAATAGAAATGGAAACCTCCGCTTATTATTCTGCATTTCAGTTAATGCTTTCTTGTACTTGTTGTTCCCCTTATGTTATTAACAGTTAATAGCAGTTTGTCTGCAAATTGTCCATCCCTAATGTGAGAAAATAGTGCAAAATTCTACATTTTCTTGATAATTTGTAGAATGTCTATTTTAAAACAATTGTTACTATAAATAGAAATGGAAACCTCTGCTTATTATTCTGCATTTCAGTTAATGCTCTCCTGTACTTGTCAGTCACATTATGTCAGTTACAGTTAATGACAGTGAGTATGCAAATTGTTCATCTCTAATGTGAGAAATAGTGCAAAAATCTACATTTCGTCATTAATTTCCCATGTGTCTATTTTTAGACATTTGTACTATTTATAGAAATGAGAGCCTATCCTCAATAATGTGTGAGTTATTGTATTATCCCTTGTTCTAATTGATGAAATATTGGTGAGAGCAGTATGTTTATCACTTATGTTTTAGTGGAGCTTCTAAATGATAGAAAATAGTCATTTTTACACATATTATGAGACATGTCTATTTTACGGCATTTGAAGCTATAAATAGAAAACGGAACTCCCTTCAAATAATATGCATAGTAGTTATTGGTGTCCAGTTTCTGTCATTAACATATTGACTTTTACAGTATATTTCTTAAATACCTAACAATGGCATCTTAAACTCTGCCCAAATTTGATTTTTTAGATTTTTCTGAAATATGTCTATTTATAGATACATGTTACTAAAAATAGTATTGAGATCCCACTCCAATTTTTTCATGAGGTGACACTCCTAATTCTGAAGTATGAAAACACACATAAGATTTGAAAATTTTCCATAGACAATTTTTTTTATTTAACCTTAAAGTTCTCAAAAAATACCAAATTTCCCATTTTACACATTTTCAGAAACTAGGTCATTTTACAGGACCTTTTTCTTAGAGTGGGAATAATTCTGGAATAACCGATTATATGCCCTGTATACCTTAAAAGTTGATGTTTTCTTATGATACAATGATTTATGTTTGAGTTTACTACGTAAAGATAAAAATTCATTTACATTTCCTCAATTTTCATGTTTTCATTTGGTCAAAAAGGGCCAAACATGGCCAAATTCAATGGATCCGTCTCCATGGCAACCGGGTGCACGTGTGAAACTTCTAACACCATATTTGCTAGTTTTGTGCCAAGATGCACCTGTGGTGCAAATTTCATCAAAATCGGAGAGATGTCGTTTCCAAGCCCTATAGTAATTTTTTTGGTGCTTACAGAGAATGCATGTTAATGCACAGAACAAAGAACTTCATCATTTTTGTGGGAAGTTTTCCGATGGTCATACATGCAGGTCATTACTTGGCCTGATTAAATCACATTGTTACCCGTCAGGATACTTCCAAGTTTTTCATATTAATCCCCCCTCCCAATAAAAATACTTGTTTTATTGAATCCAATTTGAGGAGAATTTTTACATGTATGCATTAAACCAGTCTTTCAGCTTTTTTCTCCGTACATTTATACAACTCTATTTCATTGTGAAGTTGCTGTTAATGTCAGTTGCATAGAACATCAGTATTTTCAAATGTATTTATTTTTTTTCTGGGTGATCACCCTAAATCCTGAATGGTATTCGGTATTTTCCCTTCAGTTGTTTTCCCTCACAATAACTGTACAAATTTGCTTGAAAATATCAATGGATCCTGTCCTTCCTGATATACTTTGTTTTAACAAATAAATTATAACAACATGACTATCTTGGGACAAGCCACACACATTCTGGTAAATACATGACCTGGCCTATGGACGATACACAAGGTAAACAGTCATGATTCTGTGTCTAGATATAACAAATATAATCAGTATTGTTTACGATCAAGAAAGCTAGGCTTAAATTTAGTTAATCACGTATTCTTATAATTAATTTATAGTGCCAAATCTGCCTCTGCAGAAGTAAAACAAATATATCATTTGAAACATGAAAGTGCATAGCTATTTTAAAAAATCGCAATATGAATTACGTACTTCATGCTGTTTTTCAATATGAATTACGTGCTTCATGCTGTCTTTTGTTTACCCCAATCGAAATGAATGCGGTTAGAAAGCTTAATTTATACAATAAGTTTATACGTGCGTTGATGAACTATAGTTGGAAACCAAAGCAATTAAAATCTAACATCTCTAAGATACATGTAACGCACATCAAATTTTATTAACTATAAATATTTAAGAAACAGTTTGAGCACATTAGTTATAGGAATGTGAAGTATATAATTTGATTACTAGTAAGAACAAAACAGGCATAATTTTCATTTAAAAGAATTAAAAGAAAGTTGTTTCTTCTTATTCTATAAAGACTTTCAAATCTGATAATCAGCTAAATAAAAAACAATATTCCCCAAATGGTTTATCATTTGATTCTGTTTTAAGCGGGTCAAAGGAATGCACATTACTTAAAGGATAAGTAAAACATGCATTTCATCGTTATCTAATTACAAAGTGTGTGTCGAATGCCACATAAATATCGCACAAAGATAAGAAAACATGTATCTTAGCACAAAAAAAAAAATGATTATTTCAAATTATTGAATTTTATTGCACAAATTGAACAAGCAAATTCAAAAAATTGTGGTCCCCCCCCCCCTAATGGGCGAGGGTTTTCTTTTCCAACATGTCTCAAGACTGAGACGTATGTTTTCGAGCAAAATTATTCCAACGACAATGGAATTATTTCTATTCTTCTACAGAAAATAATGGATCTGGAAAATTTATGTGTTGGGGTATTCTATATTCATTGTTAGCAGGTCACCGTTGTCGTTTAATGTCATTTCTTAATCTAATGAAACAAATAAGATTCTGTGACTCTTTATCTTAAACAAGTCACAGTGACAAACATAATAATTTTACGGTATGAACTCAGTTTGAGTAGAGGTAAGTGTGAGGTTGAAATGATTGAAAGGAAATAATTAAAAAATGAAATCATACTTACAGGATTAGATCCAGCTGGCCCTGCTTTCGAGGGAGCAGATTCCCTAGTCCGCCTGGATTCTTCCGATGCAGATTTTGTAGACGTTATACACACGGATTCAGATTCCCTTATAAATACAGGTATGAGTTTCAGGCTTATGTAATTTGTTAAGTGACGAATATACATGTATCTGTATCAGGTGCAAAACTTAAGCCTTTTGTGTAACTTTTGTTTCATTTTCAAGATTTACAACCTGGATTTGGGACCAAACAGCGATTGGGAGACATTGATTTTTACCCAAACCACGGAAATAATCAACCAGGGTGTGCGAATTCCGTCCAAGATCACTTCAAATTATTCTTCTCTGGAAATACAGGTAGGAATTTCTTAAGGAAGTTTCAACCATTCTGTAATTTTCACATTTTTTCCTCGTAAACCAAACATGGTACAGATGGGACTTTAAAAAGAGGGTGGGTTTTTAGAAGAAAAAGTGATTGTGGGTCTTTAAAAGTCTGAAAACTAGGTCCCAAAAGATGAAACTTAAAATATATTCTTAATTAAGAGTAAATTCAAGTTTCAACATAAAAAGCATGTCCTTTGGACATGATGCATCCACATAAGGGTAACACATTTAACAAAGGAGAATATTGGAGCAGATGCTAAATATCTTCTCTTCAAATCAAAGGCGGTATTATTAATTAAATCAATAACTTATGTGCTGTAGATTTGTAACTGTTTAAATGATAACTCAGAGCTCCAGATAAGGTGCGTATTTGCAGAAATATGCATTGAATTTTTCAAAATACGCATTAAAATTTAAAACAGGGCGTACATTTACGCATTAGCAATCATAAATAAGCATTACACTATGAAAGTACTGCGTACAATGGATGGGATTTTAACTCATTATGTGAATTGAAGTCAGCTGTTTGAATTTTTATCAAAAGGAAATTTTGATTAAGCGTATTTGGAATAACCTAGACCGATTTCCAGTTCGAGAGAAAGATTTGAATATTAAATACTCGTACTTTGTCTGAAAATATCACAGATTCCCACTTTTCATATAACATCCAAATTTTCGTTTTTGACACGTACAGGTGATATTGTCAAAATTGGGCAAAATTGAACACGCGTTGTGTGTAATTTATTCTTTATCACTGTTTATTAAACAGTTCTTGTATATTAACCATTTTCTGTAGCAACAATATCATCTATAGTCCGCCGACAACTTTTATTAATTGTATGAAAATATTGCTTTTTTGCGTTTCACATGCTCTTGTGCTATAAATAGCACCACGCGACTTTTAATGCAAACGGGGAGTAACTCTAAAACTTTTACCTCTATCGATGCCAACAATTTATATAGCAAAACCTAGAATATATTTCTGATTAAAAAGACAAACAAACAAACAACACGGAAAACAACGGGGCTGGATATTTTGAGAGGGACAGGTGGGGATTAGAATCTAAAGATTAATTTTATTTGGCCAAAGGTCTCGGTAACTCTTGCTACGATCGATATAGGCCTAGTCTTAAATGGAGTTCAGCGTGTCCGTGGTAACTTTGCCTATTGTATGGTCTTTCTCGTGAATAAAAAAACCCGAAATGTTTCTCAGTTATAACTAAAAGCTGACAAAATTTTTAAAATTTCATTAACCTAATTGATAAATGCAGAAACTAACATTTCTTAAATACATTCCTCTTTCAAAAACACTTATATCGATAACAAGCTAAAAATCTTGTTGAAAACGTAATACGGCGGTTACTCGAACATTCCCGCTGCCATTTCTGATCACTGTCCAACATTAGATGTCAAAAGAGCAATTGATTAACATAATACTCTTTGATTATTTTGCTGAAAAGCAAAATCTGCATTGATTTCAAAATCAGGGAGTAAATACACTTTGAGGTAAAAAATCATCTGGAGCTCTGGATAACATTGAAGTTAAGAGTGTAATCCTTAAAAATACATAAAAACTTTCAAGATTTTATCGGGAACTATTAAATCGAAAGCATCATCAGGTTGATAAATTTCAGTTTCTTCAAGTCATAGTTCAGGATGGGTCAAAGGAAGAGTTTTATTTTTTCAACAAAGGAATTAACTTCGTCTTCCTCAAATATATTAAAATATCAATTGTCATATCAGTGGCAATCATCTAATCTATTAGAACTAAAATTTGTTATATCAATGGCAAACATTTATATATACAGTGCAATGTGTATTTTTTGCGAAATATTAATTTTTACTTTATAAATACATGTAATTGTTAGAAAGGGTATTTTGGCGAGGTGGCTCAAGTTGCCAATTATTTAGTTTGAAACATGTAATGAAAGTGATCCTTAAGAAATTTGTCATATTCAGCAAGACATGTTTTTTTTCCCACGAAGACAACGTCCAAAATGTTAACAAAAAAACTACCTGTTTTTACAAAATTAATTAAATAGATTTCTAATCTAATTTTTTAAAACATTATTTTCAGATTTTATGCACCTGGTTATATGCAATCACTTACGAGTCCTAAGACTGTTTACAGAGTCTATCAACGGACCATGTCATTTCCGGTCGAACCCATGCACTCTGGAACTTTTGGGACATTCCGGGTGTGACACATGTGGTACTCGTGGATGTGCCATAATGGGATATCATGCGGACAGGAATCGAAATAAAACAGGAGTTTATACCCTTATTACAAACGATAAATCACCCTTCTGTCTGCAATGAACTTATTAATTGTTCACCATATAGTATTTTAGACGATATAAAGTCCAAGAAAATAATGACTGCGAAGTAGTGTACCACCATAGTAGTGTGCCACCAAGATATGATCTGTATAATATTCGGAAAATCCTAGACATGACACAATTTGATTTTTGTATATTGGTATTTAATCCAAAGATTGATATGCCTGATCTGAAGAAATTGTTGAGTTTTGACTGCTTATATTTTGTGAGGTTGTCATGTACTGCTATTTTATTTCTCCAAAAATAAAATAATAATGCTCCTAGTATGCTGCAAACTTCAGTGATTTTCATATCTCACTTTCTAAAAAAAATTGTTTATGAAATCTGCACCACTTACCAATCCATCATCTGTACTTCTTGTTTACAACGTATAAACAGTGTTTTAGTTTTCATCCCTGTCAGAGTACTTCTTTCTCTTGGATGTTTTTCCCGATTTTAGCCCAATCCTAAATCAAATTACGTGTGTGGGCTGAATCCACAAAACTTGGGAATAATTGCATGTAAGTATGCTTTCATTTGGCCCTGCCCGGGTTCGAATCTCGTTCGCCGTGTCGCGTCAAACCTAAGACGTAAACATAGGTAGTGACTGTTTCTTTGCTAAGAAGTGAAATTCACGATTGGCGCAATATTCTGCTCAATGGCCCTAAGTGCCGAGTAAAGGTCTAAATTTGAAGCCATTCACCGTTATATGGTGACGTCTCTTTATGTGTAAAAAAATTCTCGAAAGGGACGTAAAACAACATACAATCAATCAACCTTGGAAATTTTGATAAATGTTCATCTAGTTATATAAAATAGACCACTGTTTCAATAAATATTCTGTATCAAGGAAAAAATATGTTTAATGTGCTACAGACAGGATCGGTTCTATAGTGTCTAGATGTCACGGTGTAGGGTTCACAGTACCAAGATTGATTCAATGATTGTATATTGTTTAGAGTCCCATTCGGGAATTTCACTCATATAGAGATGTCACCGTATGTCGGTGAAGGGCTTCAAAATTAGACCTATACTCGAAACTCAGGGTCATTGATCAGTGAAGGTTCTTTATCGTGCCAACGCCTACCGTGACACGGTACCTCGGTTTTTAAGGTCTAATCCGAAAGACCCGCAACTTTCACTTCAAAGTGCCGAGCGCTTAGCGAAGGAACAGTTGCTACCTATGTTTATGTCGTAGGTTTGACGCGGCGCGGCGAACGAGAATCGAATCCGAGCCTCCTGATCACTAAGCGAGCGCCCTGCGAAAGACCTTTTTTAGGCTGTAATTTCCCCTCTTTTTCCATTATTTTGTCATCTTGTATTGAGTTTTCTCTTTTTTATATGAGGTCTAAATTGTGTACTTGCCTTCGAAGTACCTATACGGGTTGAAGTTTGAAGGGCATGTATATCCAGAAAACCCCATATGCCTGTTGCATGTGTGTATGTAAAATGCTTTCATTTTAAATACTGAAATCCAATTAGTTAAGAGGTGTTAACCAATTTTTAATGTACCCTCAGCATTAACAACACACTTGGCAACGGGTTACATAACGATTGTAAGCTGAATAAAGCAATGTTAATATTTGCTTTGTCCGAGTAAGATTGCAAAAACAGCAAGCGGAAGAAAAATGATAAAAATTATTTGATTGATTGATTGTGTGTTGTTTAACGTCCCATTCGAGAATTTTTCACTCATAAAAAGAGGTCACTATATACTGGTGAAGGGCTGCAAATTTAGACCTTACTCGGCACTCAGGGCCATTGAGCAGTGAGGGTTCTTTATCGTGCCAACGCCTACCGCGACACGGGGCCTCGGTTTTTAAAGTCTCATCCGAAGGACCCGCAACTTTCACTTCAAAGTGCCTGGCGAAAGAACAGTTGTTACTTATTTTTTATCGACTCAGGTCAATTGCGGCCGTGACTCGAACACACGACCTTCCGAAAATTATTGGAAAATAAAGACTTTCTGAGTATCTAACAAACACTTGAGAGGTTGGTGCCTTCTTATTGAGAAAAACGTAAGCAGAGTGTTTAACTTCTTTTCAAAACGAGGTCTTATTCAGATCAAAAAGACGAAGATAACAAACAACAATGTACGACTTCATTTATCAATCAGACATTCAGTTTAATATGATAAATAGTACACGTATTGGGGGTAAAAGTTGAAATTGACGCCCCCGAAAAATTTTTGTCAACCTTCGCTGACAATTTAAACTGTTACCCTCCAAAACGTGCGGTATTTTATAATATCCAAAATTGAAATTAGTCTCAGTAATTAGAAATCAGTATTTAAAAAATATGAAAAGAAAACAAAAACTGCTAAGGAGAAAGACTATCTAACAAACGTTGATACCAATGAGTCAATTTTATGGATTACCAAAAGTACACAAATCATCAAAAATAACAAAAACGCCATGCATGCTCATACAGGGAAGTATAATTGCCATCTAAATCAGGGAGATCTCTCCTTACGATCCATCGTAGGGGAACCCAATTGTTCAACTCAAAGACAGTCAGTCACCTTTTTGTTATTTGATTAAAACCTTATTGTGAAAAGGTTCCCAGTTTCATTACAGATGAATAAGATCTTATTAATAACCTACGAGACCATATTGAACGTACATGTAACACGAAGCTGGTGTCATTCGACATCATTAGTTCATAAACAAATATACCCGTCTACTTGGGTATAAAAGCTGTTAAATACTGGATTGACAAATATCCAGATTTACTGCAAGATCGCTTTGAGCAAGAATTTATATTAGAAGAATTGAGAAAAATACTTCTCAATAATACCTTCTCCTTTGGGAAGATCATTTTATACAAACGAGAGGAACAACAATAGGAACAAAAGTGGCACCCACTTATGCCACTTTTATGACTTTAAATTTAGAATATCTCGAACAAAAACTCCATCATCAACTAGTCGCCCTATGGGGAGAGGAGGATCCTGTAGCTATAAAATCAAAGTGAAAAAGATGATTTTTTTATTTTATCGAATGACAACGTTGAGAGATTATCAGTTTTCCACCAGTTATTAAACGACTTGGATTCTAATATTAAGTTTACAGTGTTTGTTTGTTTGCTTTTTTTTTGTTTATTGTTTATTATAACGTCCCTCTCGAGAATTTTTCACTCGTCACCACTTGCCGGTTGAGGGCCGCAAATTTAAACCTATACTCGGCACTCAGGGCCATTGAGCAGTGAGGGATCTTTTTCGTGCCAACACCTACAGCGACACGGGACCTCTGTTTATACGGTCTCAGCCGAAGGATCAGTTTCCATGTCCCGCAGTGGATTCGAACCCGCGACGTAAGGATCAGCTCCTTACTTAGCGACTCTAGAGCAGACGCTCTAACCACTGCGCCACGCGGGCGACAAATTTACAGTGTAAGCAGCGATACTAAATTGTTTTCTCTTACCATCCTCGTCATCAAAGAAGATATAAACCTTTCAACGGATTTCTATTACAAATCAACTGACACCCATCAGTACCAAAACCGTTCTTGTCACCCACACCATACAAACATCAATTCCTTACAATCTTGCTAGACGTTAAATAAAATGCATTACGTTAGCGATGAAAAAGGCCAGAGTTATTCGACTGAAAAAACTTAAATCGTACCTCTTAAAACAGGGGTATCCCGAAAACTTTATAGAGAAAGGGATATTGAATGCCAAATGGTACATGTATGAACGATCAGATTTATTTTCTACAACAAGAGGCCCAAGGGCCTGAACGGTCACCTGAGTATAATATAAAAAACTATGAAAGTACTTTTTGTATTACACAATTAATTTTTTGCATAATTCTCTTATTCTATTAACATTTCAAATACATTATTTACAGTGATTAATTATCAAAAGTGAATTGCAAAGGGGAATAACTTCTCTCAGTAGAATACAAATTAATAGAGCCCTAACCAGGGCCAGAACACTTGACCAAATGGTCCAGATGTTTGAAAATCTGGTAAAAATATCCTTGCTTAAACTTTTACTCTGTTTGCCTTCGATATGCCAAGGAGCAGAGAAAATTTTCATAGAAATAATGCATTTTCACTACAGATTCAACACAGCCCTACCCTAACACCATATCCCACGACCCAGGGAAATGAATTTAACATATTTGGAAGAGGTACCCTCATCATCATAGCTCTGTACTCATTTGAAGATTTTCAAAGAATTAACACATTTTCACTATATTATCAATAGGCCGCCACCCAAAGAGAAACACAAAAACCCCTCACCCTGGGACCACCAAGTTTTAAAAATTTTGTAAGAAGCACCCTTATTCATCATAACTATGCACTTTGTTTATCTGCTCAATACTTAGGACCAGACAGGATTATTTAACAGAATTAATGCATTTTCACTACGTAATCAATAGAACCCTGCCCTAACACCAGAACCCCTGACCGAGGGGCCATGAAATTCAAAAATTTTTAAGAGGCACTCGTACTTATCATAACTATGAACTTATTTTGTTTATTAATAGAGGACCCAGGAGCAGAGGAGAAGATTTTCAAAGAATTAATGCATTTTCACTATATAATCAATCGAGCCCTGCCCTAACACAAAAACCCCTGACCCTGGGGCAATTGAATTAACAATTTTGGAAGAGGCACTCTTTCTCACCATTACAACGTACTTAGTTTGTTTAATACCCAGGAGCAATAGAAGATTTTCAAAGAATTAATGTATTTTCACTATATAATCAACAGTACACCGCCCTAACACCAGAACCCCTGACCCAGGGGTCATGAAATTTACAATTTTGGAAGAGACACTCTTGCTCATCATAACTAAGTACTTAATTAGTTTATTTAATATCCAGGAGCAGAGGAGAAGATTTTCAAAGAATTAATGCATTTTCACCATATAATCAATTGAGCCCTTCCCTAACACCAAAGCCCCTGACCCTGGGGCCATGAAATTCACAATTTTGGTAGAGGCACTCTTGCTCATCATAACTATGTACTTAGTAAGTTTGTTTAATACCCAGGAGCAGAGAAGATTTTCAAAGAAACAATGCACTTTGCCTATATGATGTATATAGCTCCGCCCTAGCATTTCAAAATTTTGGTAAAGTACTCAATGCTTATTACGATCATGCCAACAGTTTGACTGCTTGATGTCCAGGAGTAAGGAAGAAGATTTTTAAAGATTGCATTAATTTTGGTTTTTTTATCCCCACCCCTAAGGCCCCTGGAGGGCAGGACATGGAAATTCACAATTTTTGTTCCCCTTCACCCATAGATGCTAGATGGTAAAATTGGTTTAAACTG